TTTTTTTTTTGGTACCGGGGATCGAGCTGGGGTCCTTGCGCTTGCGCAGCAGGCAGCGAAACCACTGAGCTAAATCCCCGGCCCTAGCTAACTGCCTTAATTTGGCATTAAGGTTGTATCACTAAAATAAAGTCAGTGTTAAATTCATAAGGCACAATAGCAAACTAAAGTTCAGTAAAACAGTGTTCTAGGCATGAGGAACGACATGTAGTTAGGACACTGTCTGGCAGTCTGGGCGAATCCAGCATGGAATATTAACAAGTGCAAAGTCCTGTGTTTGATTCCCAGTACCAAAAAAAAAAAAGTCAAATTGGACAGGGCCAGGGATTTAGCTCGGTGGTGCTGCGTCTTCCTCGTAAGTGCAAGGTCCTGAGTTCGATCCCCGGTGCACCCTCCCCCCAAAAGTCAAACTGGCCCAAAACCCTATGTGGCATAAAGTATGCTACACTCTTGTAACTGCACTATTAGCCCCAACATTCTTGTTTTTGGTACCAGGGATCGAACTCTGGACCTTGAGCTTGTGAGGCAGGCAGTGGAACCACTGAGCTGAGTCCCCGGCCCCACCCCCAACATTCTTATCAGAACTGAATAAAGGAGACTTGATGGTAAAACAAGACAGTGTTTTACAAAGCATCCTGGGAGGTCTCATTTACAACCCTAAAGTGACTCCACGAAAATCCTCATATATCAACACAAGGAGAGAGCAGTAACTCCTTCTTTAGAGGTGGTGACAAATAATTTCTAATTAAAAAGGACACCAAGAAGTTCTAAGTTACTCCCACAGGATTCAGCTGATTAGATGTGCAACGGAACTTTTCCTACCTTGGCATTTAGCAGCATGAAGAGGACATGGTCAGGAGTTGCCTGGGCTCGCCACTGCAAAATCTCTGCCAGAAACTGGTGCTGAAATCATAAAGCAGAAAAAATGTCAGCAATTTTCAAAAAGTCATATAATACATCCTTCTTCTGCTACCTGAAGTGTAAGTTACATCCTTGACTCGGTTCAAAAATCAACACTTACCTTCCTCACTAAATCATTTTCTTCAATTTGGCCCAGATCCCTTCCTGCAGCTTGTGCTATGCGTTTTCCAGCAACCAGATTCCCAACCATCACAGAAGCAGGGCCAACACCTATAAGGAGATGCAAAAATCAACTCAAAGCACTTCCAGACTGACTAAAACTGGGTAAATTTTTTTTTAAATTTATTTTTTGAAGAAAGGGTCTAGCTGAGTAGTGCAGCCTGGTCTTGAACTCACTATATAGGCTAGACTAGAACTCATGGGAGTCCTCCTGCCTCAGCCTCCCCAGTGCTGGGACTGCAGGCATGTGCCACCTTGCCTGGGTAAAACGTTCATTTAACAAGGCTGGGGAAGCAATCTTCTGGTTTGTAGCACACAGTACAAAGGGCTTGCATTATAGCAAGAAAGGCAGCCAAGAAGTACACAGACCGGCTAGCGGGTAAGGGCAACAGGGCCTACTGCAGTTCGGGTATACAGGGAAGCTTCACTCGGAGGGGTTCACAGCTGGCTGTACTGGCTCTACTGATAAGTAATTTCATTGGCTCCTGAAAGACAGCTGAACATGAATAAATATCTAGTCTGGAAGAAACCAGTCATCTAAGAGGTCTGGGAGTAAGTTTATCAGGGATACCAGAAGTGTTTTATTAAACAACAACAAAAACAAAACAAAACAAAAAACATAACTGAAAGTTGAAGAGGGAGGTTAGTGGGAGCAGAACTGAGAGGAAGGTGGAGGTCAAGAGAGAGTAGAAGGGAAGGTGGAGATGATAAAAATTTCTAATCATCACTGGTCATTCGAGAGGTGCAGATGAAAACAACACTGAGATTCCACCTCACACCACAAAGAATGGCTGCTACTAAGAAATCACCCAATCAGAAATGCTGGCGGGGGTGTGGGGAGAAAGGAACCCTGCTCCCCTACTGGTGGGAGTGCAGACTGGTGCGACCACTGTGGAAGTCAGTATGGAGATACCTCAAAGAACTAGGGCTAGAGGTCCCATTTGACCCAGCTATTCCCCTGCTGGTATTTTCCCAAAAGAATTAAAAGAATCATACACCACAGTGATATATGTGGGCCCATGTTTATAGCGGCACAGTTTGTAATAGCGAAAGATTGGAAACAGCCCAAGTGCCCATCAACTGGAAACTGGATAAAGAAGATGTGGTTTTTTTTTATAAAATGGAGTACTACTCAGCCATAAAGAATGAGAAACTAGAGACATTTATAGCCAAATGGACGCATACTGAGG